TGAGCTCCCCGTAAGAAGTGAGAGCCCCACCATAAGAAATAAGAGCCCCCCAAAAGCCCCTCCATAAGAGACAAGAGCCCTGGCCCACCCCATGCCTTTCTAAGCAGCTCAGGCAGCAGTGGCTCCTTCCAGCTTTCAGCTGCCACTGCTGCAAACCTCCCCCCCCCCGCCCCCTAGGAGTCTGAGTGTAATTCAAACCCTGTGTCATTGCACGTTACACAATTGCACCTACAAGATTCAGGGGAAGATCCAGGCAGCTGGCGGGGGGGGACACAACTGCAACCCCCCCCCAACTTTGGCAGTATGATTCACACAGGGGACCTCTCATCAGCTGGCTCATCAGGACACCTAATGCTGGAGCCCATGTTGCCACTATTCTACAACCCTGGGGGGTGAATGATGTTGCGGCTCATCTCCCCCTATTCCCCTATCACTGAATTCAGGAGTGGGCAAGGGGCAAGTGGTGGCGCAGTTCTCTGGTTTCCAGAGCCATGGCAACATGAGTTCTGGCAGCCATGCTGATGAGCCCCTGAGCACAGAAAGCTTGCTGTGCAAGCACCATGCAGCCAAAGTGGGGTGTGGCTGCAGCTCCCGTCTCCTGCACCTCCCACTGGATCTGCCCATGACTCTTTGCATGTCATTCAGTGACGGCCATTTCTTAACTGCACTGGACTTTTTACTACTACTATTAGTAGTACTGAGGTAGTGCCTCAGAGCACTCAGACCTAACCTCTTGGATCTGGTCCCCAGTTCCCAATCTGAAGAGTCTGTACTCTATAAGTAACCATTATCTCTATGTTTCTCAAGTTTCCTATTTGTAAAATGGGCAGAAACCTCCCTCCCAGGGATGGAATTCATCTTAGTGCAGGAAAAGCTGAGCTAAGGCTTGTGCACCACCTACACTGGTTTGACGGCTTAGGTAAGATGGCTTCAGTGGGCCAGCTTATGCACTACTTGTTCTGGCCCTCTGTATAGGGGTGCACTTTGCCCATTGGATATGACCTTCTTTCATGGTTGGCCCAGAGAATAATGTGATACTCAAGTGAGCACAGCAGCACTGGGCCATGTAACATCCTTTGATGCAAGCTTTTACACAAGTCTTGCAGTTTGCAAGTGTTTGTTTAAAATGCAAAATCAAGAGCCCAATTCCTTGGGGCCATTAAAGATCCCGTGGCACTTCTTCTGTGACTAGGATGGTTAACCCCAATGGCCTTGCCAAATGCCAGTCTGTGAAATTGCATTCAGCTCTGCACCATTCCCTGTGCAACTGCAATTGAAGGAAATTTATCCCCACTCCCACCCCATCTTCTTTTAAACTGGGATGTATTGCTGTACACCAGTAAAGAGAGACTGTGTTCTATAACCGAGGTGGCTGGAAATCATCACCTTATAACATTTGCAAGCTATTTGAGACCTACATTATAATATATGGATTGGGAGAGCAGCTGCCAAAAGTATACACCAGTATATGTTTTTGCTGAAACATTTTTTAAACATCCATTTCTCTGCCGGGGGAATAGGGGAGCTACAAACAGTGAATATTTTAAACCAAACCAAACCCTGGAGCTGTTACTGGCAATATGTAGGAACATCAGTGCCTCATTCACCATTCTGTGTGGTGACTCTTAAAATCAAATTTTAACACTGCAAAGGGAAGCTCATGTAGCATCCTGGCTCTCTGTCAAAATCACGGCATTAATGATGGCAGCCTCATCGCAACATTACCAAGTAATTCAGCTTGCTCCTAATCATAAACAGGCTAAGGAGTTATATATTTCTTTTTCCTGGCAGTTGAAGAAGCATGTTTCAGAATTTAAAACTATTCAACAAGCTGCATGCTGAATGCAGAGAGAATAAATACTAAGAACACAGATGATGTGAAGGTTCCCTAGCACGTAGCACAATGTATATACATGGCAAGCAGGAAGGAAAGGAAAAAAACATATTTCACAAAAATTATGAAAAAATTCAAGGATTGACAAAGCAAGATTCTGGACATGGAGCTCCCCCCACATGTTATCAGTGTGTTACAATTCTACAGTGGTGCCTTAAAATATATATTTATGTGAATGAGGGCTACTTATGAGACTTTGTATCAAATTCATTTTCTATTCATTTTAATTTTCCCAAGACAATGAAGTTGGCTAATACCTACATAGCTAATATATGACTAATTACCTTCTGTTTGAAACCTATTTCACTGGTTCTTTGGCTGTGCTACAGAGGCAGCTGGTGCAGCACTGTGAAAACCAAGTGTGTAAAAGCAAGAGTAAAACCAATTCAGGCTCCTCCTATTCCAGCTACATTGAATATCACCTCAAGTCTCTTAGAGCCTCATCCACCTCTCACTAGAGTCAAGAGGCAGCTTTTAACAAGGGCCATGTAGACACTGAAATGAAAGAATTAACCGGTAAGAAATAAAACATATTTACCAGATGATCCATATTTGCAAGGTGGTTCGCAAGTATTTGGGGTGCATCAGGTCTTTGAATCTACCTCTTCTTTCCTGTAAATTATTTAAGAAGCAGCAAAAGCTTAGAAAAAGGTGTTCCACAGATGGATTGTGCTTCTGATGTGGCAATATGGCTGCCTATACACGTGCTGGTTTGTGTTGTAATTAGAACACATCAGAGCAGACTCAATTAATCAGGTCCCACAGCCACTTTTAAATACATGGAGGCTTAATACACATGAGGATAAGGTGTTTTAATCAGATCAGCTTGCTGGTAACCGCTTTAATTAAAATGACCCTCCCTGACCATGTCTATAGGCAGCCTATATGTCTACACCCTAAAATGCTCTAGATTAGGCATTGACAACCTACAGCTCATGGGCGAGATTCAGCCTGCAGAGTCATTTGATCCTGCCCACAGATGTGAGGCTTTGGCAGCATTTGACAACTGGGGGTTTTCAGCAGTGGTTGTTTTCCCTAACTGGACAGGAAAAAACACCAGCTGCAAGTGCTTTCTCTGTGCCATCCCAGGGAAAAGTGGGAGTGGCTGGGACCTGGGTCAGGATCACCTGATTAGAACTGGGTTACTCCAGCCCACAGCCCAAAAAGGTTGCCAACTGCTGTTCTAGATAATCCTAGAGGCCCTTCCCACCCTGTGGTTGCATCTACACAAGACACTGGCTGTGCAGTAGCTCATTACTATTGTACAGTAGCATCGCATGGCACAAAGTGTGATGCGACACTACTGTGCAGTAGTAACAAGCTACTGTGCAGTCAGCATCACCAAAAAGCCATTGGGGATGCTACCGCACAGTAATGCTGATTACTGCGCAGTCATTCAGTACTTGTGTGTAAAAGTACTAAATGATTGAGCAGTAACAACTGCACAGTCAGCATCTTGTGTAGATGCGGCCTGTTATTATGATTTTATCAGGTTTGCAGAAGCATAAGGTAGACACATAAACACACTACCACACCTCAAAGACCATGGAGACTGAAGAGAAGCTAGAAGAGAAGAACATGGAGAGGATCTGTATCTAAGTTTCTGTGGGGAGGGTGGGGAATAAAGCCACCATCCTGTGCAGCCCTGCTGCCTTGAACAGGTGTCCCACATGCACAGGGCTCCACTCTTATAGAAATACTGGATGAATCACCAGCTATTTTAGAAGATGTTAGGTGAATACTCATTCGTTTCTACTTGATCTAATGCTGTCTTAATTGATACTTGCATTGTTCCCTTTTGTGTAACAAGATATGCAATGACATTAAA